ATGGGATCTACTGGCAGCAACGTCCAAGCACATGACACCATGTCACCAACCATAGTCACCATGTTGTCCACTAGCTCAACTTAATCTCATAAGATTTGTGTCCCTTGACCAACATCACCCCCATTTCCCAACCCCACCCCCAGCCACCACCACCCTATTCTCAGACCCTACAAAATTGGGTTTTCTGCCTTTTAGACTCCACACATAGGGAATCCAATATCTTTCTCTGCCTGGCTTACTCCACTCGGCATAATGCCCTCTGGTCCGGCCATGTTGTTGCAAATGGCAGGATTTCCTTCTTCTTTTATGACTGAGTGATACTCGATTGTGTGTGCGCACACCACGTTTTCCTTTTCCGGTCATTCATGGAAAGCCATTTGGGTTGTTTCCACATCCGCGCTGTTGTGAATAAAGCTGCAATGAATGTGGGAATGCACATATCTGTTCAAAACACTGATCTCAGTCCCTGCATATGCGTGACCTGGGGTGGATTGCTGGGTCATGTAATAATTCAATTATTTTTTTTAAATTTTAATGTTACTATTTATTTCTGAGCAAGAGAGAGAGAGAAAGAAAGCATGAACAGGGGAGGGTCAGAGAGAGAGGGAGACACAGAATCTGAAACAGGCTCCAGGCTCTGAACTGTCAGCACAGAGCCCGACATGGGGCTCGAACCCACGAACCGTGAGATCATGACCTGAGCCGAAGTCGGACGCTTAACTGACTGAGCCACCCAGGCGCCCCTAATAATTCAATTATTAAGTTTTAAGGAGCTACCATACTGTCTTCCATATGACTGACCATTTTAGATTCTTAGTAACAGTGTGTAAGGGTTTCCTTTTCTCCACATTCTCCCCATTTGTCATCACCTGTTCCCTTGATATTAATCATCCTGACAGGTGTCAGGTGATCTCTCCTTGTGGTTTGGTTTGCATTTCCCTAATGACTGATGTTGACTACCTTTTCATGTACCCATCGGCCATTGTAGTTTCCTTGGGAAAATGTCTCTTCAAGGTCCTGCTCCCGTTTTTTAATCAGATTGATTTTTTGGCTGTTGAGTTGGATGAATGCTTTATATACTCTGGATTTAACCCTTTGTCAGAGAGATGGGTTGTGAATATCTTCCACCATTCTGTAACTTGCTTTTCCAATTGATTGTTTCCTTTACTCTGCAGAAGGATTCTAGTCTCATGTTTATTTTAGCTTTTGTTGAATGTGCTCTGGTATCTTATCCAAGCAATCATTGCCAAGACCAGTGTCAAGGATCTTTTTCCATAGGTTTTCTTCTAGAAGTTTTATAGTATCACATTTTACATTTAAGTCTTTGATTCATTTCTACTTCACTTTTTTTAAATTACTTAAATTCAGATTAGTTAACATATTGTATAGTATTAGATTCAGGAATAGAAATTCTACTCCTGAAGTAATGATGCATCACTTATATACAGCACCCACTGCTCATCCCAACAAGTGCCCTTCTTAGTGCCCATCACCCATCTACCCCATCCCCCCCCAATTCCCTCCAGCAACCCTCAGTTTGTTCTCTGCATTTAAGAGTCTCAGGGTGCCTGGGTGCCTCAGTCAGTTAAGCATCCGACTTCAGCTCAGGACATGATCTCACGGTTCATGGGTTCAAGCCCCGTGTCGAGCTCCGTGCTGACAGCTCAGAGCCTGGAGCCTGCTTCAGATTCTGTGTCTCCCTATCTCTGACCCTCCCCTGCTCATGCTGTCTCTCTCTCTCTCTCAGAAATAAATAAAACACTTAAAAAAGAAGAGAGTCTCTTATGGTTTGCCTACCTCTCTGTTTTTATCTTGTTTTTCCTTCCCTTCCCCTATGTTCAATCTGTTGTGTTTCTTAAACTCCACATACGAGTGAAATCATATACTTGTCTTTCTCTGACTTATCCTGCTTAGCATAATATACTCTAGTTCCATCCATGTTGTTGCAAATGGCAAGATTTCATTCTTTTTGATCACCAAGTAATAGTCCATTATGTATATGTGTGTATGTATATGTGTGTGTGTGTGTATATATCCACTTTGTGTGTGTGTGTGTGTGTATGTATCCATGTATATATATACCACATCTTTATCCACCTATCAGTCAATGAATATTTGGGCTTTTTCCATACTTTGGCATATGTCCCTTCAAATCAGCATTTTTGTATCCTCTGGATAAATACCTAGTAGTGCAATTGCTGGGTCATAGGATGGTTCTGTTTTTAATTTTTTAGGAACCTCCATTGTGTTTTCCAGAGTGGCTGCACCAGTTTGCATTCCCACCAGCAGTGCTGTGGGAACTATCCTTCCCAACATCTGTCATTGCCTGAGTTGTTAATTCTAGACATTCTGACAGGTGTGAGGTGGTATGTTATTGTGGTTTTGATTTGTATTTCTCTGATGATGACTGATGTTGAGCCTATTTTCATGAGTCTGTTAGCCATCTGGATGTCTTCTTTGGAAAAGTGTCCATTCGTGTCTTCTGCCCATTTCTTCCCTGGATTATTTGTTTTGGGTGTGTTGAGTTTGATAAGTTCTTTATAGATTTTGGACACTAACCCTTTATCTGATATGTCATTTGCAAATATCTTCTCCCATTCTGTCAGTTGCCTTTCAGTTTTGTTGATTGTTTCCTTCACTGTACAGAAGCTTTTTATTTTGATGAGGTCCCAATAGTTCATTTTTGCTTTTGTTTCCCTTGCCTCTGGAGACGTGTTGATAAGTGGCTGCGGCCGAGGTCAAAGAGACTGTTGCCTGCTTTCTCCTTTAGGATTCTGATGGCTTCCTGTCTTACATTTAGGTCTCTCACCTATTTTGAATTTATGTTTGTGTATGGTGTTAAGAAAGTGGTCCAGGTTCTGTCTTCTGCATGTCGCTGTCCAGTATTCCCAGCACTATTTGCTGAAGAGACTGTCTTTATTCCGTTGGATATTCTTTCCTACTTTGTCAAAAATTAGTTGGCATTTGTGGGTCCATTTCTTCTTCAATTTCATGAGTGGTAAATGATAGGGATCCAATTTCATTATTTTGCATGTGGATATCCCATTTTCCCAGCTTCTTTTGTTGAAGAGACTGTTCTTTTCCCCAGTCTGTGTTCTTGGCACCTTGTCAAAAATTAGCTGACCACGTATGCCGGGTCTTCTGTCTGGGCTCTCTATTCTGTCCCACTGGTCTATATGCCTGTTTTTATGCCAATACCATATTGTTTTTATTACTATAACTTTGTAAGATACCTTAAATCAGGAAGTGTGATGCCTCCAGCTCTGATGTTCTTTTTCAGATTTGCTTTGGCTATTTGGGGTCTTTTGTAGTTCCATACAAATTTTAGGATTTTTTTTCTCTATTTCTTGTGAAAAATGTCATGGGAATTTTGATTAGAATTGTATTGAACCTATAGATCACTTTCTACAGATTTTCCTGTAGAAAGAATTTTTTACAATATTCTTCCAATCTAAGAAGACAGGAAATCTTTCCACTTATTTGTGTCTTCCTCAAGGTCTTTCACCAGTTTTGTATAGTTTTTAGTGTATAGGTCGTTTACCTCCTTGTTGAAATTCAGTCCTAAGCATTTTGTTATTTTTCATGCTATCTACAGACAGGATTGCTTTCATGATTTCTCTTTCAGATAGTTTCTTGTTAATGTGTAGAGATGCAACTAATTTCTCTGTGTTGATTTTGTATCCTGAAATTTTACTGGGTTCATTTATTAGTTCTAACAGTTTTTTTGAATCTTAAAGGGGTTTAAAAAAATTTTTTTAATGTTTATTCATTTTTGAGAGACTGAGAGAGACAGAGCACGAGCAGGGGAGGGCCAGAGAGAGAGACACAGAATCGGAAGCAGGCTCCAGGCTCTGAGGTGTCAGCACAGGGCCCAATGCGGGGCTCAAACCCATGAACCATAGGATCATGACCTGAGCCGAAGTCAGATGCTCAACCAACTGAGCCACCCAGGTGCCCCTTTAAGATTTACTATATATAAGATATCACCTGCAAACAGAAATTTTACTTCTTCCTTCCCAATATTTATGCTTTTGATTTCTTTTTCTTGCCTGATTGCTGAGGATAGGACTTTGTGTACTGTGCTGAATAGAAATGGCAAGAGTAGACATCCTTGTCTTGTTCTTGATCTTAGAGGGAGAGGCTTTTAACCTTTCCCTGTGAGTGTGATGTCAGCTACCGTCTTGTCACGTGTGGCCTCTGTTATGCTGAGCCACATCCCTTCTCTGCCTAGTTTGTTGAGAGTTGTTCTCATGGGAGGATATTGAATTTTTCACGTGCTTTTCCTGTTTACTGAAATGATCATAGGATTTCTTATCCTCCATTCTATGCCTGTGCTGTGTCACATTGTTTGATTTGCCAGGGTTGAACCATCCTTGCATCAGGAATGAATCCCACTCGATCGGATTATGATCCTCTTAGTATGTTCCTGAATCCCATTTGCTAGTATTTTGTTGATGATCAAACAAGGAGGATTGAGTGTTGGGTGGTTGTGTATTTAGGATAAGAGCACATTAATGAACATGGTGCAACGTGGAAAGCTGAAGCTTTGGAAGAGAGAATATTAATATTCTCCAGAGAGGCTGTGCAGGACATGGGGCAGGGTCCAGCTGGAAGGAGAAGAGGCAACTCATCAGTAGTTGGTGAATGAGTTATGGGATTTGGGAGGGGGCGGGGGGAGCTGGAATTGCTCACATTTAATGGCACATAAAGAGCAGGGGGTAGGAGCAGGTCAGTGGACTTAAAAAGAGCGAGAAAGGCATTTGGCCAGAATGGAAACGTCAGGCACTCTGTCCGAAGCACTGTTACAATAACACTGCTCTCCCTGGGTGTCGGTCTTTGGGTTCCCCACTGGGTGCTCTGCGCTGGCAAATGGCTTCCTCCTGCCATGTGTCTCCCTGGCAAGTCTGTTCCCAAAGTTTGCAGAGATGTCCCAACAACCCCAAAGACGAATCTTAAAAAAAAAATTAAAAACTGACATGCCTGTGTCTGCATCCCAACAGAAACATGCCTACAAGTCCTGTAAGCCCCTGAGCTCCTGGGTTAATGATCTCATCCAGCGAGTTAATTTCTTCAACACTTGGGCCAAAATGGCTTACACCGCAATACACCATCGGTATGGAGGAAATCCGCTTTGCATCTCTTCCTTAATTTTGCTTAGAACATAACGGTTTACCATGTAATTTCATATGGCTGGACTTCTGGGTTCTCAGAGCAACATGTGAATTAAGCAAGGGGGCGGAGGGGGGGAGGTGGAGGGAGAATAGTGGTGTTGAGGATGGAGACCTGGAGACAACAAGATGCCCTGAACCCGTCCATGGTCCCTCCAGTCGAGGACAGATAAGACCAGACTTGGTACTTTCTCTCTGTCATTCTACACTCTGTCCTGTGACACCAGCAGGGGGAAGTGCAGAAGGAAGTAAGAATTAGTTACGTGTAATTTTTAAATGTGTTTAACACGTAAATCAAAACCATGTGAATGGCACGAGTGCAGCTAACACTCCAGGGGCACCCATGTGTCACAGGCCCTCACGGAGCTGACGGCCGCCCTGTGAGAGGCCACGGGCCTGGCCGTTCACCCCCCTCCTGTTGGAGGGAGTAAACGAGGCATGAGCAGCCCGCCCAGCATCTCATAGCCGGCACATAGGAGCACTGAGATTTGAACGTGGAAAGTCTGCTGGTGCCACTTACCTCCGAGCGGACACTAGGACCTGTCTTCAGAGTCAGCCAACCCACGTTGCCTGAATCCACTGCTGCCCAGCAAGTTACAGTCCCACCCGTAGAGCCACAGCGGGGTCTCTGCTGAAGGACAAGCCCAGGGTCCCGGGGGGGAAGGGGGGAGACCGGGGAGCTCCTGGCCACGTGAACTACTTGGTGCCAGTGCCACTGAGCTCCCGGCCCTCGCTCTGCCCCCTGCAGGTATGTGAGGCTTGTCACCACCTGGAAGCGGCCTAGCTCGTCATCCACCCAGACCCCCAGATACTCTAATGACAAAACCAGTGATTTTTTTGAAGGATTTCCGGCGAGATACTGGCTCCCAGCATTCTTCTTTCCGCAAGGTGAGTGTGAGAGCAGGGCCGGCTCCCACCCGACCTGTGCACGGTCGTGCCCCCCTGCCCCCAGCCTTCCCCCACCCCCTTCAGCGTGAGGCCCAAGCCCTACAACCCCAGGCACCACTGAGGGGGGGTCCTCTCCTCCCTCCCTCTGCTTCCCTTCCTCACCCCCCCCCCCCCAGCAGGACCACCGTCTTCTGACTGCACGTGCCCCGGGCAGGAGAGAAGGTGTGGGATGGAACTAGAGGCAGGGCCGGCTCCCGGGGGACTGGGCCACGGCCGGGCCTCAGGCAGGGGGCCTTGATGTGACTCCGAGAAACTCGGGCCCTCAGGCATCTGCTTTATTCTCCAGGCAGGAATTGGTGGAGGCCTGGAAGGGAGAGGGTGGAAGAGAACAGTCGTAGGACACTGGGAGCAGAGCCACCTGGGCCTGTGCTTGAGAGGGAGGCCCCAGGCTTGGGCTCTGAGAGCTGGGTGGCGGCTGACGTCCTTCACTGAGATGGGGACCCAGGGAGAGGAGCAAAGTGATGGGTAGTGAGGTGGCCGTCACCTCTCTGGTCTGAGACGTGGGCGGGGAGCAGTGGCTCGAGGGGGCTGGTGCTTGGGAGAGACGTGGCCACACGGCGTGGCGGCCGCACTGAGCCCCCGGGACAGGGCCAGGGGTGCCGGCCACCGCCAGAAGCACAAAGGCGGGTCTTGTCCCCTGGCGGCTGCGGACTTCTGAGAGGTGCCAGCAGAGGCCTGGGGCAGGCACAGCCTCTCGGGCCTGGGAAACTTCTGAGGAAATCGGAGAGCCTGTCACAGGAGGAGGGCAGGAGCGAAGGCGCGGCCGGGCGCCGATGCAGGCACTTCCCTGCTTCCCGCGCGGCATTGGCCTCACTGCCCGGCTAGGGTGGGGAGCACTGGTGTGGTGGGTTCTGGGCAGGGGCATCACATGGAGTAACAAGGGGAGGAGCTGGCGTACGGTCCTGGCGTAGAGACGCAGGGCGCAGGCCAAACCTGCCTGTGCAAAACAGGGCAGGTTATAGGCTCAGGCGAGTGGAGAGGAAGGCCAGAGGTTTAGCTTCAGGTATGGCTGGATCCAGATGACCGATGGTCCTCTGCCACCTGCTATCTTGGCTCTGTCTCCTCTCTATCTTGGCCTCCTTTTTCTCAGCTGCACACAGCAGCTCCCCACAGTCGGGGGGAGACCAGCCGCCAACAGCTTAGCAGCCCCAGAGGAAAAGGTGCCTGCCTTTCCCTGCATCTGTATGCCGCTTCTCGAGAAAGACTCTGAAGCGCCCTGGTCTTCTCGTTGCTCTTGGGCCCCAAGCCGTCTCCGGGAGGCAGCGCGGACCCCTCATTCCCCCAGACTCGCAAGGAGCTGGCCGCTGTTCCCCCCAAAGCCTTTCTTACAGCTGTGCTTCAGGACTACGGACGGTCCCAAGGAGTCGCTCTCGATGCCCTCGCGTTTGCCCACCGTGTGATCGCGGGCACCGCAGACCAGGAGCTCTCCGCACTCCACATGACACTCAACACCGTCAGGAGAGCCTTTAAGGTATGGGACGCTTAAGGCACTGGACAGAGTGACTGTGCAGCTGGTCCTTCCCTCGCCAGCCTTCCCCCTGCCTCCCTTGGGCCGCACACCACGCGAGTTCTAGAGCTGTGTGGGGATCCTCATCCCCACCCCACCCCCACTTTTTTAGGCAGTTTTATTTTTACCACTTTTTCCTGTGAAAAAATATACACAAGGTAACACTTACCATTTCAACTACTGTCTTTTTTTAGTTTACTTACTTATTTTGAGAGAGAGCTCAAGAGTGTGCAAGTGGGGAGGGGCAGAGAGAGGGAGAGGGAGAGAAACCCAAGCAGACTCCACGCGGTCAGGGCAGTGCCCCATGTGGGCGTGAGCTCGCCAACTGTGAGATGGAGGCCTGAGCCACAGCCCAGAGTCAGAGGTTTAACCGACGGAGCCCCCCAGGCGCCCTCATTTTCGCTAAGCCTACGCTTGGTGGCCTTAAGCACGGCCGGGCTGTGCGGCGGCCCTCACGCCCCACCTCCAGGGCTGGAGCCCGCCTGTCCTCATGGCATCTGCCGTTTGTCCCTGTAAATCTGGTGACAGGAGCCCTTCCAGATCTGTCCCTGCGACTGGCCCCTCTCACTCGGCACAGCGTCTCCAGGGCTAATCTGTGTGGTGGCCAGTTCAGAACATGGCAGCGCCCCTCGTCCATGGTTTCCATGGCTTCAGTGGCCAGCGGTCACCAGTCGGGATCACGTGATCCTCCTCCCGACTCAGCATCAGGTCGGCAGCAGCCCAATGCTGCATCGTGTCACCTTGGCATGGTGTTTCGTCATCTCACGTCACCACAAGAAGGGGGGCACAGGACACAATGTCTGGGGGGAGACAGACCACATTCACATGGTGTTTATCATAGTGTATTGTGACAACTGCTCTATTTTGTTCTTAGTTACTGCTGTCACCCCCTCTGGGTCCTGTTTATACACTAGACCACATCAGGGGTGTGGATGTGGGGGGACCGCGGTCCACGCCGGGCTTGGTGCATGAGTGCAGACACCCTGGTCCGCGTCGGGCAAGCTGGTTTCTGGCATCTGGATGGGGGGTGGTCTTGGAGGGCAGCTCTGTCTCCCGCATGACCCTTCCCCGGACAGAGCCTCTGTTAAAGAAAGCACCCCGTCCAGGGATCCACTGACCGCATCCCTCTCTCATCCCAGGACACAGACCGCACTCACGTCGGAGTTCATGTTTTCGGTTTATTCATCGAGGGGGCCAGGTGGAATCAGGAACAGAACATACTAGAGGACTCGCTGCCTCATGAGCTCTGTTACGATTTTCCTGACATCTACTTCCTGCCAACAAAGGTAAACACGGGAGTTTACTGTGAAGTCAGCCTTCTGGGCTTTCCCGTGGGGACACGAGCCATTCCTTCCTATCCCCATTCCCTGGAGTTTCACGAGGGACATTTTACGAAATGCTTTAGACAGTAAGACAGCAAACGTTAAAAAAAAATTTTTTTAATGTTTATTTTTGAGAGGGGGAGGGGCAGAGAGAGAGGGAGAACCAGAGTCCGAAGCAGGCTCCGAGCTGTCAGCACCGGATGCGCGCCTGGAACTTGATCATGACCTGGACAGAAATCAGGCACTTAACCGACTGTGCCCCCCACCCCTCCAGGCGCCCCTGGACAGCCAACGTTTACTGTAAGCCAGAACATTGCTAAACCTGGAACAGACGCTCTCCCACCACCCAGCTGCTCCTCCAGACTGTTCTGGAGGCCGTGACGGTCACACGGGTCATCCAGCCACAGAACCCCTGACCAGTCGTGTGTACGGCCGTCCCCCCAAACCTAGCGCATGGAAACATGAGCTCCTGCTTTGCAATCTCATTGTTGGATTTTTCTTAAGCTTTCTACAGAACGAGCAGGCGCCTCAGACCAGACCGACCCGCAGCTCCACACATTCGAGTGCCCGGTGTATCAGACGCCCAAGCGGTCGAGAACTCTGACCACCACCGGCCCGCCTGCAGACTTCCTGACCTCCGTGCACTTACCTACGAAGAGACCCCCCAGTCACTGGGTCACCATGCGGGTTGCCTTGCTGTGTGAGAAAAGGGAGAAATAAACGTGTGCACCAAACCCCCCACTGTGTGTCTGAGCGGTATGACCCAGCACCCTCCATGAAACACCTGCGGGTTCAGCCACGCTGGACAGGTGCGAGCGGCCCGCCCTCCCTCTGTACCCGCAGTGGACTCTTCTGGCTGCTGCTTCCCAGGTGAGTGGGGGGAGTGGGGGCAGTCCCAGGTGAGGGGGGGCAGTCCCAGGTGAGTGGGCACACCTGGGGGGTGGCGTCCCAGGTACAGCAGGTGAGACCTGCCTAGGCGCCGTGGGTTCCAATCAGGAGATAGCGAGGCGTGTCGTCTGCAGTGACATAAGATGAAACCCACGAGGGGTCCCCGGGAGCACTTCCCCGGCCGCACGCGCAGCACGGGGCTGACCCCGCCGACCTGATCACAGACGTCTTCCCTTGAAGAGATGCGGTCTCATGACTTCACCCGACCTCCTCCCACCGAGGATTTCGCTCACCTCACTGACACACGGGCCTCCCACCTACTGGATGCTTCTGTGGCCCCGACAAACTCACGTGAGAGTGCGATAGAGAAAAGACCAAACCGTTCAGACTCCATCTCCTCAAACAGCAGGACTAAGTGCCCGGCCGCTGAGAGCCCCGGCGCAGGCGGGGTGGATGGGTCACCCAAGGGCTCCTGCGTCAGCCCCAATGATCCCAGAGTCACCAGCAGGAGGAAGAGGCTCCGAAGCACCACGTCTTTTTTATTTCCAACTTTATTTCCAACTTAAAACTTCATTATAAAACTTGTCAAACGTTTCAAAAACAAAAATTAACAACACACCATAGCTGATATCCACAAACTGCAACCTGTCTTTTTATATTTTACATCTTAACCAGAGAAAGACTTAAATCTCCTCCTTCCTCCCCAAGCCTCACTGGTGAATCGAGTACAGAATGAGACACTCTTTCTGATGCAGGAGAAAAGCATAATAAAAGCCACTTGCTTACGTCTGTACAAAGAACACACTGGAAGACCACGGGTGCCAGAGCCGACAAAGTCACACACGGCGCCCACGGCCACGCACCTGTGTCTCGTCTACACACTGCAGCAGCAGCCCAGACACTCTCCTCCATCCCAAGAACCACTGAACTGAACACGATCTTCCAGCGCGCCTGCTGCTCCCTTACGGGACTATCAATAAGGAGACCGTGTTGGCTTGGACCTCGCGGCTCCGGCTGCCCCGTCACATCTATTAAACTGAACAAAACCTAAAGAGGCTCTGCCTTAAATTACGTGTAGACCAACAGGCTTCTAAAGATGACCGCCGCCCTGCTTGACGGCGAGGAGCACGTGGAGAGGGAACGTACGGGTACAGTATAAACAGCACGGCCTCAACAGTAGCAAAATCACAGTTTTATCTTAAAAAAGTAAAAAACATACAAAAATATTAGCCTGAAATGGCAAGTTTTCAAAAACCAATCTGTGTAAAAATGTTTAAATAGTGCTGTTACTCCAAAAATATATATTTATTCTATTTTTTTTTCTATTTGCAATAGTTTATAAAGGCAAAACAGACACCTGCGCGTGAGGTAGCAAAGCCAAATCCGCCAGCTCTGGGGTGAGGAAGACACCCTCCCTCGGTCTCACCAGCTTCTTTTACACAACCTTAAATGAATTCTAATGGGTTCACAATTTTTAATTTAAAATACTGCATATGTTCTCGTTAAAAAGATACTTAGTCCTAACGCTTATTTCACATTCAAAATACTGTACAGAAAGCTCTGCGGTCCCCATATATTACATGAAATCTATGTACTCACTGTCCAGCGCGGCTGCGGACGCCGAGGTGGAGAGAATGGCCCGGCCCCGCTCACACAGAGCTCAGGGCACGTGTTTAAACCCCACTGACCGCGGATGCGGATTCTCTCCAAGAGACATGGACAGGTGGTTTCGCTTCAACACGAGGACAAAACGAAGTCATGGCTGGAAAAGTCCTCGAGGCCCATAGACGTCACCGGGACTCTCCTCCTTGCACTCGAAGAACTTGTGTTCCCCGAATCTCAAGGACGGATCCCAACAACCCCTTCTCCTCAGCGGGTGTCAGACTGAGCGACCACAAGCAGCTGTGCTGAGCCCGCCGGGCCCCACGGTCGGGACTCAAAGAAAAAGAGGATCCTGTCGGTGCGACAGATGACGACCGGCTCTGGAACCTTCTCTCAGTGGTGATGGGGCGGGCGGGGCGGGGGGCGGCTAGTACACGCCGGGCAGGATGCGGTGCGGCACCCGCCGGCAGTACTGCTCCCAGGCCAGGCCGTACCGCCGGCGGCAGTGGCGCTCGTCGCGTGCCTCCCGGTGCACCAGCAGGACGGCGAAGTAGACGACGTAGAAGTAGGGCAGGGCGTGGCCGAAGCCTGCGTCAGGGCACAAGCGTGAGCCACGGCGTCCCCGCCCCCGCCCCCACCCCCGGGGAACTGCGGGATTGCCCGGGGCGCCCCCCGCCCACACACACACACCTCCCCTGCTGCACTCACCACAGGGCAGGGACCATGCCAGGGCCATGAGGAGGTCCCCAAGGTAATTGGGGTGGCGCACGAGGCCCCACCATCCAGAAACCAGGAGGTTTTTCCCCGTGGAAGTAGGAATGGTTTTTAAGTCTAAGTGGAAATAAAAACACATTTACAATCATCTCTAGACAAGAGAATCTTATGTAATGTAAATATCATAAACATAAACCAATATTTACGTGCGAGCTTTGGATCCGCGGGATTTTTCCGGAATGAGTTTTTCTGAGAATTTGCACATCGGAAGATTATATATCCACAAACTGCAATGTTTTTAAAATCGCATGTTAACAACTTAATATTTAAAAGCATCGGTAATGTCAGGAATTATTTCTGTGCTTTTGAGAAAATTTCCAACGTAGAAAATACCTTGATTTCTTAAAAACAGCCCTGGGGGGCTCAGTCGGTGAAGCGACCAGCTTCAGCTCAGGTCATGATCTCAGTCTGTGGGATCGAGCCTCGTGTCGGGCTCTGTGCTGACAGCACGGAGCCTGCTTGGGACTCTGTCTCCCCCTTTCTCTCTGCCCCTCCCCTGCTCACACGCTCTCTCTCAAGGTAAGTAAACATTTTTAAAGAACAAGTCAAACCCCTCCACCTCAGAACATCAAGAGAAGAGGAAGTCCTGAAATGTCACCATTGCACCACTGTCCCCATCTACCTGGGGGCACAAAACCAAGGACACAGCGCCACTCACAAACGAGCGCTGCTTTGGCCCCGGTTCTGACGACACACCCTCAGGGACAATCTGCGCGCTGACTGCTTTCGTCCAGATTCCGGAATGTCAAATTAAGAGCCCCTGACCGACCAGTGACCGCCCGCACTGTCGTGCCCGTGGAGCGCACGGTGGGAAACGAGGCCCCACCCGCGGCTGACACGCACACTGCGCCACCGTCCTGAGTGACACGCAGGCGTGGTCAGGAGCAGAACCAGTGGTGAAACAACCTGAATCTTACCCTCGCCTTGAACTTCCTCTTCTACCCGGACGCCAATCAGAGCAGCAAACTCGCTATGTGTGAAGTTCTGCCCATTTTTCCACCCTGCCCCCGCCGGAGTCATTTAACAGACCCCCCCCACCCCCCAATCCCACTTTCGCCGCCACAGTCCACATCAAACACTCTCCTCCGCGGAGTCCACGCTGACTGCTCTTCCCCAGAGACAGGTTCTGGCCGCCTTCGACATGGCCGTATGGGCGGCGGGTCCCCGCCTGCACGCCTCCCCCGTGCCCAAGGCAGGCCCAAGCTGCTTCCTCTTTGAGGTGCCCAGGAGGAGCCGCCACCGCACAGAAAACCACCCCGAGAACGAAGCGTCCGTTCTCTCTGCAAGGCAGGAGGCTTCCTGGATGACATGGACCTGCTTCAGCCACTGCCAAGGGTGCGTCGTGAACACATGTGTGACAGCGCAGGAGACTCCACACCCGATACGTGACGTGCGGCCACAGAAAACAGTACTCACGTTTCAGGGCGACAATCAGAGAAGCCATCGGCCAGGACACGTCATTGGGGTGGCTGACCAGATAGTAGGCCTGCAGGCTGTAGACGAAGGGAACCCACGCGAGGTCTCCGAACGCCAGCATGAATCCAAACCCATCGTGAGTGATGTCCATGGTGGTCAACAACGCCTCCTATCGGGGACAGGGGAGGCAAGTCTTTTAAGAACGCTGGGGGAGGGGAGGGGGGTATCGGGGAGGGGGGCTCAGTCGGTTGACTCTTGATTTTGGCTCAGGTCATGATCCCAGCATGGAGCCTGCTTGGGATTCCCTCTGCCTCTGCCCCTACCCCTCCACTACTCACACTTGCTCACTCTCTCAACAAGAAAAACACTTGGGGAATTAAAACAGGTTTTTCAAGTGTTCAAACTAAGTTCAGAAGGACGCAGGGTGATGGGAGGGCACAGTCCCTGAACGTTTCACAAAGGGGGGTGGTCTGGTTCCTGGGCCGTGTCCCTCAGCAGGTCACTGCCACCTTCCTCTCCACTCACAGCACCCTCTTGGCCCACAATCTGGAAACGACACGTGTCCAAAACGCCTCTCATGCTTCCTGGCTGTGCCCAGGCCATTCTCCGACCTTGGGCTCCGGCTCCCCGGCCACCCCCCAGCTGCCACACCTGACCCTCCTCAGATGAGGCGCTTGCCGGACGCCGCGCCTGCTCACGGCGGGTGTGGCGTGTCCTCACTGACAGCGACCCAATTATCTTCACCCCGCCACCCCAGCATGCAGCGCACGGTTTGCCCGCTACACGGTAAGCATTTCCAGTGTTTGCCAAAGAGACAACACCGCCAGCTGCCCCAGATCAATCCCGCAGGCGCCCGCCTCCCTCCTGACCGTGATCGGGCTCTCATGTCGCCTTCCACGTGGAACGCCGCTGCGTCCCCAGATCCGTGGATGACGCAAGACCAGGGTTTGGCCCAGACCCTGCAGGCCGGACTCCAGATGTGGGGCTGGCCCAGGGGGCTCTCTAACTACCTGGGGCCTCGGGGCCACGCGGCCGACACGGGATGAGCAGGGTGTGAGCTCTGGGGGGGGCTCCGAGGCCCAGGGGAAGGAAACGGTGGTAATAACTCCAAAGACCACTTTCTGCCAGAAAGAAACCAAATGGACAACGGAACAGAAAACCGAAGTCACAATCTCCAGGCCCTCAGGCCACACTTGAGCACTGACCGCCGTGCACACTGGCTCTTGGGACTGGCCGTCCAGGTTCCTGGGCGCAAGACAGGGGCAGGGACGAGGCGTCACCTCTATAATCACTGTCCTCTGTTCCCTCAGGTCGGCCTCACTCGCCGCCCGGCCACAGCCTGATGCTGGAGAAAATCATCAGGCAAAGCCCCCCCCCAGCTCCGCCGCCGTCCCGAAGGCAGCGGCACTGACGACACACGGGGAAACCCCCCCAACTCTGGCTCTGGTGCTCAGCCCCCAGCCTGCGACAAACCGCCTCACAGACGTCAAACCAAGTCACCATCGGCTTATTTCTAGACGCGTGAATTTCCAGCCGGGGCCACAGTGACTCCACCGTACGACCCCGAGCTGGAAGGAAGTGGCCAGAAGTGCTGACCGCTGAAATGCCAACGGAAAGGCGTGTCAAGAGAAGTCTCTGTGATACTCAGGCAACAGCGAAGCGTCATGAGGCTCCTGAGACAGAAGGCGGCCACCCCCTGGGGGCCACTGACAGTGCCGCAGCGAAGGATGCCTGCCCGCACGTGTGCGTCCGGGAACCTGGGTACATCTGGAACCTTCTGAGGCCCAGCACCAGGCGCCCCGTGGGACTGCAGTGCTCAGAGTGGGCAGAGCACAAAATCCGTAGCCCGGCCACTCGCCACAGAGGTTTGTTTACCCCGAGAGGCCTTGAGCGACCAGACACAAGGCAGATTACAGAAACAGTAACATGACGCTCCCACGTCACCTGAGGGTTGAACTCACAAACCGTGAGATCATGACCTGAGCCAAAATCAAGAGCTGGTTCCTTAACCAACTGAGCCAGTTTTGTTTTCAAAACTGGAAGAAAACTCAGAGTGAGTGTAAAACAGGCCTGAGGAATATGTTATTTTTAAAGGGACTACATTTAGTTGGAACAAAGATTGGGAAAATATAAGCCAATCTTCAAGGACTGAGGACTTTGTTTTTTTAAATGTTTTATGTTTGAAAGACCGAGAGAGAAAGAGTGCGCGCACAAGGGGAGGGGCAGAGAGGGAGACAGAGAATCGGAAGCAGCTCTAGGCTCTGAGCTGTCAGCACAGAGCCCAACGCGGGGCTCAAACTCACAAACCGTGAGATCATGGCCTGAGCCGAAGTCGGACGCTTAACTGAGCTCCCCAGGTGCCCAAAAAGCACAGACGACTTCTCACATGCGAGTAAGGCCAGGTTAGCTTTCCTTAGGCCGGTTTCCCCAAGTATCACGACTACACACCAACGAGCCACCCTCGCTGTGCAAGTACTCGCTGCCTCCTGACAGTCAACAGCACAGGACCCTACCTAACCCCATGGCCATCTACCCACCCGCTTTCATCGGACACAGGGATTAAGAAATTAAGATTTATTTCTAGGAACTGGACAAGGCACAGAAGTTAAATATTTCACACCAGGGAGCAGCGGACACACTCACCCTGCGTTAGTGCTCGCCGCACCGCGTGGACGGGCGCCCCACCTGCTCCCCATCAGCCCGCGAGGGGTGCGCCCTCCTCACCCCACCAGACACCCGCACTCAGAGCTGCTGGACTCCAGGGCCTCTGCCCCAAAGAGGACTTACCTCATTCCAGAGAGCGTCCGCCACGTACAGGAGCTGGAAACTGTTAACCAAAATCATCGCTAAGGACGGGGCAGCTCGTTTCTGCAGCTTCATCTCAGCCAGAAGCATCACCAGGTTCACCACCACCTACAAGAATGGGGGCAATTGTGTCCCCAAGTGCCTCCCCGGACCCTCGGCAATGACGAAGGGAGAAGGTCACCTCACCACGCGGGGATCTGCAAGGGTGACTCCAACACCAGGACACGTAGTTACCTCCCCGGTGCTCTGGTCCTGTGGAGCGAGGGACCGACAGTGGGGACGGGGGGGAGGGGGGAGAGGGTGCAGAAAGCAGGCCTGTGGATGCAGCAGCCCCCACAGAGGTGGTGGGGATCCGCAGGGCTGGATGTGGACACTGCGCCGGGCCTGACACAAATGCCAGGAGACAGCGACATCCGACTCCGTGTCTGCCGCCCTCCCACAGGTCCCGATTGCATCAGAATTAATTTTCTTTTCTTTTTAAAGATGGGAAAAAGGGCGCCTGGGTGGCTCTGTTGGTTGGGCGTCTGACTTCAGCTCAGGTCATGATCTCACAGTTCATGGGTTCGAGCCCTACATCGGGCTCTGTGCTAACAGCTCAGAGCCTGGAGCCTGTTTCAGACTCTGGGTCTCCTTCTCTCTCTGCCCCTCCCCTGCTCATGTTCTGTCTCAAAAATAAACAAACTATAAAAATATTTAAAAAAAAAAAAGAAAGAAAAAACTTTTAAAAAATAAAGACAGGAAAAATACATTTTTTCTTATGTGGACTGACCTACACGATCATGGTCCTACATAAATACATGGACGTAAGCAAAATACAACAAGCCCTCCATCTTTAACGACCTGGAACAGGGCATCGTAGTCCTGTGCACTCTGCTTACGGGAACAAAAATACTTGAAATACACATTTACAGAAAGCTGTAACTGTTCCTCAAAAATACCACCCCCCGCTTATTTTAAGGTGTCTAAAACCTTTCCTAAACCCAAGATTAATGTGTACTCCTGAACTGAAATGAAAAACAAAGACGACATACCCATCCAATCAATCCAGGGCGTAATTCACAAAAGTATTTGAGGTCAAAAGTACCGATCCGAGGATTCAATTCACGGCCAATGAAGAAATCGTAGATGGCATTGCCTGCAGAGAGAAAGTCCTTATCCAAACAGAACAGCGGCTACGAGGCTTTCAGTTCAGCCCCGTTAGCTGCAGTCCAGGATCCCAACTTAGTCCCAGGGAGCCTGCCAGGTGCCAGCTCGGGCAGGTGGGCGTGACAGCAGGGACGGAGGAGGCCAGAGGATGCCCGTCCTGTCTAGAAGCAGCTAGGATCCTAGGGCCAGGCACCCTGATTTTAAGGGAACTGGAGCTTTTTTTTAAATGTAGACTAACCATTTTTCTAAAATAAGCAACCTGAGGTTTTAAAATGTTTGAATACTTGAAGGTCAGAATCAACCGATTTATAATCTCTGTTACTTTGGGGTTTTTTAAGGATGTTTATGAGACCAAAAAAAAGAAAATCGTCATAAACTGTGACACCAAGTTACTAAAATATCAGTTACTATAATAAAGAAGTCACTAAAATAAACTGTCATCAAGTGACTAAAAAAGGAACAGAGACAAACTGGAAAGTAGAAAAACAGTAAATAAATTTTTTTCCCTTTGAATGTATTTTCCTTCTCATTTTTCCTCCAACCTGGTATCCCTTTCCCCGAACAACCCCCCCCAGCCCCCCGGAGGCTGTGAGCTGGAGTGTGGGGTGCTCACCGGAGCTGGCAGGGGCCAGGGCACTCGGAGGCGCCCTCGCTGCCCGCACCGCCAGGTACACGCTCAGGCCCAGGGCGAAGGCGGCAGCGGCAAGCGCGAACTGAAGGAAGTGGCTGTACAGGTAGTGCAGGTCCGCGCCCCAGAAGACGGCCCCCCCGACGGCGGCGCATGTCAGGAGGAAAGCATAGAACCCTTGAAAAGAAAAGAAAATGTGTGTGTGAAACCAGGGCTTCGCGAGATGTACATCCTGGAAAGACCCTGGGAAACGACCGTTTCCGAGCTCACGCGCACTCCTCAGGCTCGGGACACTCGCACGGGCAACGCCCGGTTTTCAGCATAGACACCAGGCTCTCACACGGATCATCCAGTATTTTAACTTTTTTTTAAGTTTATTTACATTGAGAGAGACAGAGATGGTGTGAATGGGGGGTGGGGAGTGAGGGGGGAGAGAGTCCCAAGCAGGCCCTGCGCCCAGCTCGGAGCCCGATGTGAGACTCAAACCCACAGAAGTATGAGCTCATGACCTGAGCCAAGATAAGAGTCAGACACTTAACTGACCAAGCCCCCTGGTGCTGTGCATTTTCAAACATTTCAATAGTTTATATGCTATGCTTTTTCATTATGAACCATCCATATGTGAACAAAGCCAACAGTGCACAGAAATTCACTATTAAACAGCAGAGAAGAACCTCAAAATTCACATAATCCTAACCCTCGAGCCCGAATCGCTAAGACCTGAACCCAACACACCAAGCGTACGTACTTCTACCTGAAACCCCGTATCCATGATGGATACAGAAGATCCACCACGGTCCCTCCCCCCCCCCCCCCCCCCAGCCCCAGAGTACAGACCCCAGGACCTGCCCCCAGAGAGGCCAGCGCACGCTGGCCGTCGGGTCACAGGCAACTCCTCAGCCTGCAGTGCCTGGGCCAACGTGTGCCCAGCCGGCTGCTCCCGTGGGCCAAAGCGGGAGGAGTGTGCCCGGCGTGGGCACCCCCAAACGCGGCCACACTGGGATCAACGAGCAAACGGACAAGAGGCAGCCATGCGTGGGCTCCCGTGCAGCACGACGCGGTCTCTGGGCCATCGTCGGAATCTGCCTGTGCCCGTGCCAGGTTTCGTCCCGAGGGTACCTCTGAATGGTTTCAACTTTTCCTCAGCTTTTTAAACCATTCACTTATGCTCATAAAATGTACGAACGTGAAAGAAAAAGGGCGGCAGACCGAACAGCTTCCTGCCCTGTGGCCCACGTGCGTTAAAAAGGACCCTTCACAGTGTACTGGGCTCTTCCTGGATTGAGGGGAAAAACCTCATGAACAGAGACGGAGGGACGCCGGCCCCAGAGGTACCGCATAGGAACCTGGAATCTGAAAGAGCAGGATCCCAGTCCCGCCGGCTGCCACCCGCTCGCGCTCCATCGGAGCGGCCCGTGTGCACCCTCACAGGACAGCAGAAACAGAAACCACCACCTCTCAGAAAAGAAGGAAATCCGCCCAGGGAGAACACCACAAAGAGCAACAGGCCGAGGGCAAAAGTCATCCCCCTCTCCCCCCCACCCCCCACACCCCGTCCCCACTCGGCCTTGCAGGTGCTGTGGGCAGCCTGCTTCTAACAGCAGCAAGTCTGGTTCAAGTTCGTAATCATCTGACAGTAGCAGCAAGTGAGTGTTCAGCACCCACCACGATCAGGCACCGAGCTAGGCTCTGTGTTTTACAGGCCGCACGAGAGGCATCTACGGGACCCTCAGCTGCCCTTTCAGAGCCCAGCAGAAGGACTTCACAAAGAGCAGGCGTGAGATAAGCCACAGAAAGAAGTACCCACAGTTAGAAAGGTAAAAAGTAACAGGAGTGGGGCGCCTGGGGGGCTCAGTCGGTTGAGCGTCCAACTTTGGCTCAGGTCAAGATCTCTCACTTTGTGGGTGTGACCCCCACATCGCGCTTTGTGCTGACAGCTCAGAGCCTGGAACCTGCTTCAGATTCTGTGTGTGTCTCTCTCTCTGCCCCTCCCCCACGCACACACTGTGTCTCTCAAAAACATTACAAAAGAAGTGACAGGATGAAAAAAGGCCAAGAATTAGGGTGCATAATGAAATTCCCAGGGAAAGGAGGCGAGCCCACCAGCCCTGTTCTGGTGGAAAGCCCTTCAGGGAGAAGTCTCTAAGAGCAGGGCAGCCGCACCTGACGGAAGCGTCCTCAGGGTACAACTGACCCCCCCCCCAACAGGTACCACCCACCGGGTGCTCACAGCTGATGGGCCTCCCGCAGGCCAGCCCCCTGTCCGGCACCGGGGATCCCCAGGGACCCCCGACCAAGGTCCCTCACAGCCCCGGCTGGCAGACAGGATAACGAGGACAGAAGGTGGGCGTGGAGTCACCACAGCGCACCCGACACCGATGGGACCCCGATGCCATCTACCCTGCAATCAAACTAAAATTAAAAACTAGGAGTAAAAAAATACATAAAAAAGGAGAAAGGGACCCGAGGGCTTCTCTGAGCAGAGACATGACAGGGATGACATAGCTGCAGGACACTTTGGGGACAGTTTTCCAGGAAAAGCACTGTGGATGCGGCCACGTGATGCCAGAGGCCGGGGGCGGGGTGGGGGGCGCGTGTGCCTGGGAGAAGCGCCGGGGCGCCCGCTCGGCTGGACCCGCTCCCATGGGTGGGGGCGCAGCGCAGTCACTCACTGGAGCGTGAAGAACACTGACTCACCGTTCAGTCTGTACTTGAGCCTTCTCCCATCGGCAAGAGGCGTCCCTTCCACGACCTTAAAAAGAAGAAGAAGGTTTTTCACTTTACGTCGTCGTCGTAGTCAATTCCAACGTGCCTGGCGAGGACGAGGCCCCTCCGCAGGGCCGGCGGCAGCGAGTGGGAGACATCTCCGATGAAGCGGCTCCACCTCAGGATGTCCCCGACACACACACACCTGGCAGTGGCTGCTCAGGGCACAGGTGACAGCGGGAACAGCCACCCTTCCCTGCCACCCCGGGGGCCGCCGCCAGCCCCAAGCGCTTAGAAACCTCTATGACCTCGTCCCCCTCTCGCTCAGAAGTAGGGCACAGCCGCACAAGCCGCACAAGCCACGTGCCTCCGACCACATGATTCAAATGGCCAGATGGCAGCCACAGTTCACGCCCCAAAGTAACTATTCAGAAATGTAGCAATTCATCGTAAATACAAAACACGAGGGGCACCTGGGTGGCCAGGCTTAAGTGTCAGAATCTTGATTTTGGCTCAGGTCAAGATCTCACAGTTTACGAGTTCAAGCCCCATGTCAGGCTCTGTGCAGACCCTGTTTAGGATTCTCTCACTCCCTTTCTCTCAATAATAAACTTAAAAAAAACTTTTTTTTACAGTGTAAAAAATATTAAAAATAAAACCAAAAACAACCTTTAGAACATACATATATGTACGTATGTACACACACACACACACACACATATAAAACAAGAACTTGGTGTCACTTGAGTTGAGGTAGGCTCCTCTCCCCTTTCTCTAGCTACAGAAGGGGACCAGGAACAAGGCAGCACCTGGTGGAAACCACAGGGTTAGCAAAACCCTCAAGCTCATTTCGAATGGCCCCTAAATGATCTTATCTGTTCAGGCAGCCGACAAATTCCAAGTTGGGCTACAGTCGGCAAATACACGAAAACGTACGTATACATAAAATCTTTAACCTTTGGACTGCTTTTTATTAAATATCATCTAGTTCGGGTAGGCTCACCTAACCTCACCCGGAGGTGAGTGCTCTATAAAGCCTCACTATAAAAATGCCTGAAGGTTCACAGCACAAAAACGGTCGTCATGACGGTAACGTTTCGGCGAGAGCGCCAAGAACCCGGCGTCCGCGGCCCTAGTCTATCGCCGGCACTCGCGCACCTGCTCAGACCGACCCTTTGGTTTACGGGCAGTCGGTAAACCTGCAGAGCCCTACGAGTAAGGTCTTTAAGTGAATTATTCACTCTGCGAACCTCTGTTCCTTTCAATATATCCAGTAAAACATTCTAGCAAAAGAGAAAAAAAACTACACTTACAATGAGGACAAATTTAAAAGACATTTTGCCCAGGTCTGAAGAGAACTAAAATGTTCCTCAACAAATTCTCTCAAAAATAGGCAAATTAGAAACACAGTGTATTAAAGAGAAAAGTAGGGGCGTGGGTGGCTCAGTCGGTTGAGCGTCTGACTTCGGCTCAGGTCACGATCTCACAGCTCGTGAGTTCGAGCCCTGCGTCGGGCTCTGTGCTGACAGCTCGGAGCCTGGAGCCCGTCTCTCCCTCTCTCTCTCTCAAAAATAAACATTAAAAAACCTCTTTTTTTTTTTTTTTAAATCTTTTTTTTTTTTTTTTCTATTTCTAGGAGAGAGAGAGAGAGAGACAGCATGAGCAGGGGAGGGTCAGAGAGAGAGGGAGTCACAGACTGAAACAGGCTCCAGGCTCTGAGTTGGCAGTCAGCACAGAGCCCGACGCGGGGCTCGAACCCACGAACCGCGAGATCATGACCTAAGCGAAAGTCGGACGCTTAACCGACTAAGCCACCCAGGCGCCCCTAAAAAACCTCTTTTTAAAGAAAGGGAAAGAGGCAGGCCAAGGCCCCCAGAACGCGGAGCTCCCCGGCCGAGCAGCACGAGGCCCAGCGCGCAGCCCGGACGGCGGGACTCACCTTCCCGAGCGGCAGCGCGTAGAGCAGAGCCTGCAGGAGGACCCAGAGGACGTAGACGCCGAACACTCTGGTTTCCCACAAGTCCTGCCAGGCGGGCAACGGAGGCGGGAAGCTGCGGAGGCCGGGCTCCTTCTGTCGGCCCATCAGCAGGAGCAGGCAGAGGAGGGGCGGCAGGCCCAGCATGACCAGCAGCACCCCTGCAGACAAGGCTCGAATCAGTCCAGGCCGCCCGCTTCGTCGAGCCCCTCTGGACTTCTGGGTCAAGACTGGAGCCTGGCGCAGCGCCCAGGGCCATCTAACGTCCCGCCCCAGCCGCCCGGCCGCGCCCGTCGTGCCCAGGGGGCAAGCGCCGAGGCCACTGGCGCAGGATGTCAGCCGCCAGCCGGCCGACCTCCGGCCCAGAGACCAGGCTCCAAAACGCGACTAATCCACCCACGAGGGGAGCAAACAGCTTGAGGTCCCAGCAAACCAAACATCAGCACGTCTAAAACCATCAGCCTCGTCCTGAACACACAGAGCACCAGCACGCTACAGCCCTAAGTGTCTCACAGTGAACACACCTTCCCACGCAGCGGGTGCTGATGCTCGGTGGCCCGGGACACGGTCCCTCACAGGCCCGCCAGCCCAGGGGGCTGCTTACGAGACACAAAGCAATTAAGCCGTGCGCGACTCTGAACCAGCTGGCCGAGCCTTCCCTTGACTAGCCCACAGGCTGTCACTACTTTCAAGTCACCCCCACTGACTAGCACGGAGCCCGGGCCCCCGCCCGGCTCGTGACCTACCGCCTCCCATCCCTCCCAGGAAAGGCCTTTCCTTCCCCGCCACTGCCCTGCTTGCGCCAAGCAGGGGCGCTGCCTACCGGGGACTCCCCCAAACTCCAGGTCCTTAGTCGGCGCGGCTGGAGCTTCAGAGGTTTTCAGTGGTACAGATCGTCTTGTCGAAACAATGTTTTCTTCCTTAGAATCCATGTCTTTCGATTTGATCTCTTCTCTTCTGGGCCGCAGGCTATACTGTGTAGATACATAACTACGTTCTTCTGACAGATGGAATTTTTCCTAGTTGAAAAATAAAAAGTGCTGAATATTTATAGGCAGTAATCAGCAGGGGCTCCTGGGTGGCTCAGTGGCCAGATTTCAGCTCAGGTCATGATCTTGCAGTTCACGAATTCGAGCCCCATGTCGGGCTCTGTGCTGACAGCTAGGACCCTGGAGCCTGTTTCAGATTCTGTATCTCCCTCTCTCTCTGCTCCTCCCACACTCGTACTGTCTCTCTTTCTCAAAAATAAATTTAAAAGATAAATTAAAAACTAATAAAAATAAACTTATAGTCAATCATTATCACTAATGCTATTACATTAACTCAGCATTATAATACAGCTGGTTACTAACTAGAATAAGTTTATTAAGTTATATTCAGCCTTAATTTAAGAACAGAATTTTAGAAAAGATTATGAGAAAATACTATGGTTTTCTATGTGATTTTTTTGTTTAATTTACTTATTTTGAGAGAGAGGGGTGCCTGGGTGGCTCAGTTGGATAAGCGGCCGACTTTGGCTCAGGTCATGATCTCATGGTTCATGGGTTCAAGCCCCGCATCGGGCTCTGTGCTGACAGCTAGCTCAGAGCCTGGAGCCAGATTCTGTATCTCCCTTTCTCTCTGACCCTCCCCTGCTCACGCTCTCTCTCTCTCTCTCTCTCTCAGAAATAAATAAAACATTAAAAAAAAGAGAGAGAAAGACAGAGCACATGAGAGCAGGGGAGGGACACAGAGACAGAGGGGGAGGGAGGGAGGGGGTGAGGGAGCGGAAGAGGGAGGGAGAGGGAGGGAGAGGGAGAGAGAAGGAGAGAGAGGAAGAGAGAAAGAGAATCCCAAGCAGGCTCCACAATATCAGTGCAGAGCCTAATGCAGAGCTCGAACTCATGAACTGTGAGATCATGACCTGAGCTGAAACCGAGTCGGACGCTCAACCGACTGAGCCTTCTGGGTGCCCCTTCCATGTGATTCTTGAGGAAATGTCGCTTTAACATAGAGAAAGGCCAGCTGGGGTGAAGAGGGACGCCTCGCACCTGAGTGCTTCTGGGCGGCGTGCAGTCCCTCTTGGTGCGCTCTGGCTCCCCGTTGTATCTGCTGATGCTATTTCCAAACGGCTTCTGTGGTGAAGAATAGAGAACATTGGAACGTAACAATCAGACCCCGTTAAACACAACATGGTGTCAAAACATTGTTATTATGAAACTAAGCAATGAAACAGATTTTCACAGCTAAACTCTGAAGAAGTTCAGCAGACTTTTGTTAAAAAGGAAAAGCATTGGGGCGCCTGGGTGGCTTAGTCGGTTAAGCGTCCAACTTTCGCTTAGGTCATGAGCTCGCGGTTCATGGGTTCGAGCCCCGCGTCGGGCTCTGTGCTGACTGCCAGCTCAGAGCCTGGAGCCTGTTTCAGTCTGTGACTCCCTCTCTCTCTGACCTTCCCCTGCTCACGCTGTCTCTCTCTCTCTCTCCTAGAAATAAATAAAAAAACATTTAAAAAAAAAGGAAAAGGATTAAAATCAATTAGCATTTCCCAATCTTTAAATGATTGGATTTGACAGTATAGATTTCTATGCAAGATCTTTCATCTTTTAAACAGGCTGAATGTTATAATGCCGTCGTTCGATGGCAGATACGCTCATATTTGCTGTGAGTCAGATAAGGTAAAACTCAATCAGTTAGTTCATTCACTGGATAGAAAAAGGGGGGAAAGGCATTCACTGGCCCAAAACAGCCACCAAGGGGAGGTCAATAAGCAGCAAGTACCGCGGGAGCCTTGCCCGTGACCCACCAACTGCCTCCTTGCTGGGTTCCGCTGCCTGGTTTCTCCTGAGCCGCGCCTTCTGCCTGTGGGTCCCTGGCCTCAAACCTGCACCCTCGTCAGGCAGCGGAGGGAAGTTACCACACAGAACGGGGGAAGCGGATCAGCCTGCAAAAGGCTTTTTAGGCCACACGTGGCTGAAATCTGTCCGAGTTCCTGTCACATCCCTGACCGTAACACTACGACACAACAGGAGGAAAGCAAGTTACAAATGCAAGTACGTCTTCGGGAGGCCCAGCGGCGAAGGATGGCAGTGACGTGGGGTCCAGGTCTAGCTCTGGTCAAAGCCAGACTGAGCGGTGAGAACATTCAACACGTACTTCGGTTTACCAAAGTGCCAACAGGCTATTCAGCAAGTACCACGCCGTCCACGGCACGGATAACAGCCGTGACCCTGTACCCGCGGCACAGAGGACGGCCGTGGCCACACACATCAGTGACCCTGTACCCGCGGCACACAGGACGGCCGTGGCCCCGTACCACGGGAACTGTGACGGCTACAGGCTGACAGGACGCCCACACGTTGGGGCAAGTTATGCAAAAGGTCACACTGAGGCGTCCAGAGCAACAAGGCGGCGTGACCGTCACAGCACAAGCAGCACGGGGATGGTCCTTCCCACGCGGCACACCATCCTCGCTCCCGCGGCGGCTCCACAGAGAGGAGCCCCGCCAGCCTGCAGCTCAGGTCACCAGGACTAAAGAAGGTCACACTGCAAAAATATAACGGACACTGAACGCTAAAACCGAAACAGTGACGGAAAGCGGCACGCGGCACCTGCTCCGTAGCCCGTCACCCGCCTGGCAGGGAGAGCCGCCGATGGAGGGAACCTTCTCGCTCACAAGCAAAGCTCAGAACGCGAGGTAGAGCGGTGAGCAGACGCCCTTGGCAATCAAACTGGCAAAAACAAACAAACGAAAAATTATGGTAATTCTCAGAATGAGCGGATGGGCATTTACACGGCGCAGCCACTGCGACAGGCCTGTGTAAGCACTGTGGCAACAAGTGCAAACGCCTCACACCCGCGCTGCCACCTGACCTAGCGGTTCCACCTTTAAAAATTTATCTGAAGGAAATATCAGATGTTCTGTAAGAGTATCTGCTCAGCACAGTGAAAATTCAGACAAAGAAGCAGCTAAACGCCTGTCAATGAGGCATTTTAACAATCATGTCACATCTGTGTGAACTGTGGTCCATCCAAACCATACGACAAAAATGATGCACAAAAATATAACACAGGTTATTCCCAATATTTTAAAATTTACAAATCTGGCTACAGAATAGGATGTGTGTCATCCGGTTTCTTCAGGTTATTAAAAATCTGTGTGCATTTTGCCCAGTAAAGAGGTAATATTAAGTGAATAGAATAAAAGATCTTTATTTGATTATTTTTCTTAAAAATCATTACTAGGGGTGCCTGGGGGGCTCAGTCGGTCAAACGTCCAGCTATTGATTTCGGTCATGATCTCAGTTTGTGGGACTGAGCCCCACATCAGGCTCTGCACTGGGGGCCTACGCCTCTCCACGATGAGCCCTCCAGCTTCAGCTCGGGAGAGAAGTGACCAAGGGTAAGGACACTGAGAGACCAAGGATGTGTTTTTGTAACACACAGCGACATCCCGTTATCTTACACGGAAACACCTCTAAACTGTCAAACGTCTTCAGTCCGGCCCACAATCTACGTCCATCCACACGCAAGCACCGCTCTCGTTCAGAAGCACAGCTCCAAGCAGCGCTCTGGGAACCGAACTTTCACTCTCACCGGCGCCCAGAGCCCCGCACCACCTACCCTCCCACACCCGCCCGCCGACGTGGCCTCCCCGAGCCGCCGCGTCACACGGAGGCCCTCGCTGCGAGCCGTCCGGTGGCATGGGCACGGAGGGAAGCCCGTGGGGACCCGGCCCGGGGCAGAGGCCTCGCGCCAGCCGCGCGCACCCACCAGCACGAGCGGGGTCAGCTTCACTTCCAGCACCTCCTTCCTCATCTCCCTCAGGTCGGCCTGGTGCGAGGCAGAGGCGGATCGGCGGGAGCTTCGGGGGGGCCGGCCCGGGGATCTAGACCGCGACCGTGACCTACTCCCCCGGCGTCTGGACGGCGAGCTGGAGCTTGAGCCGCTCTTCCTTTGTCTGAAGGAAGTCAAAGGCTGGGGAGGGACAAGAAGGCAGAGTTTTAGCACAAGACGGACTGGGTGCCATCAGCTCTGAAAGCCCCGGGCATCAGGCTGTCTGAGAGCCCGCCGGCCCAGCCAGGGACGCATGGGACACACACGTGGGGTACAAGGGCACGTGGTTTCCCAGCGGCGCGGACTAGAAGGGCCCCCAGCACCCTGCTGGGTTAACGGGTGGTGGGACCAACAGCAAGAAACTCTGTCCCACAGTTTCATCCTGAGCAACACGCACAGGCGGGTCTGGGAAATGGGCCCAAGGCTGCAGTAGGCTCAGCAACACTTGACTCTGCCCGTTCCTCTCCCACCCTAGTCCGTGTGGCCCAGGAGCTGAGAGTGGCCTGACGCTTTTTACATGACTGCAAACAAGAGCAGACAGAAAATGAAACTTTGTGACACAGGAGAACCCCCTGAAATTCAAGTGTCAGTGTTCACAAATAAAGTTTTATTGGAACACAGCCACGTTCACCCGCTCCAGGCCGGCCTAGAGCTACTCTTGGTTGCGGACACCAGATGGCCCAGGAAGCCATTTACTCTCTGCCCCTCCTTCTAGAACTCTGCCAACCTCTGGTCCACAGTATTCAAACCGTGGGCCACCAGCCACCGGTTCAAGAACTGTTTCTTACCGATCCGCACCCAAAAACCAAATTGGGAACACATGTGTAGAAATTTTTATAGCATTTTGACCAAGGAATTTTAGGCCTATTGACCAACAATATAAAAAGTTGGGGCTTTACTTTGTACGCCTTTTCCTCCGTCTGTCTCGTAAGCCACGTTTCCAGTATTTTGCATATGTCCTTCCACAACACGGACCAGATCATTAAAGCCCCAGCCCTCACAGAAAGGCTGAGAAGCCCGGAGCTACACTTAAATCCAATCAGTGTCACTCTCCTGATTAAACGCTCCATGTCAGGATGAAGCCCAGTTTCTGCGATTTAACCCCACCCCTCACCTACTGCGGACTTGGCCCTCTGAGTAACCACCCCCATTCCCCCCACCCCCCCACCCTGACCCCAGGCCGTTGGCATGCTGCCCTCCCCGTGTGGCCTCAGCACCTGCCCAGGGGTCCTCTGCAAGCCCTGAGACCCCAGACCACACCCCCCGCCGCGTGCATGGCAGCACTGCCCACCAACGTCCCTCACCAAAGGCATCACACCCGGGAAAGGGTCCGTGGAAGCGGGTCTTCTCCAAGAGGCCACAGCCTCTGGGGGACAGGCTGCTGTGCGTACCCCCACGGCCCCAGAGCTAACCCACAGGCGCCCCAAAGCCCGGGCTGGGCTGGGCTGCCTGAAGCTCTGCCACATGGCAGCCGCCCCCACATCTCGTGAGCGCACCTTGATGTCACTCTCCTTCAGCTCAAGTTCGGTCCCGTCCTTGTACTTCACGGTGTAGAGCTGGGAGCCGTTGTCGTGGCTCAGAATTTCAACTTCATAGTACAGGGAGCTCCCGGGCCAGCGACCCCGCACCACCTCCCCGTCGGCGAACTTCCGACTCGGCATCTTCCAACACCAGGCTGAACGGTGGAAAAGGAAACAACAAAGTCACCGTGTACACGCGCACATGGGTCTCTTTTCCGCAGACTGAAGCCTCACATACACCTTCCCAAAATGCCTAACTGGTCAAGATCTTAGGAGCAGGAAGGCCTCGCTCAGTGGGGGGGGATGTCCGGCCCCGAAGTGTGTAGGTGTTAACTGGGTTTCCCAGGGACAGAAACACAGGCAGGAAGTGGCAGAGGTGGGACCCCCCAGGCTGTTCCTTCTTCTACGCGTGTATCCACTGGGGTCACTCTACGTAGGGTGACCTCACCACGGTGCCGCTGCGGCACCTGCTGGGGACACAAGGACGCAGCAGGACACAAAGGTACCACGTGGCTTGCACTTTGCAAAACACTATCACCCAAGCGCCCGGACTTCTTGCTACCTGACAAGGCACGGCCATAAAGGATACGTTTTCTGATTTATAAATTCCCACAGAGGGCGTGTGGCTCAGTGGGTAGGGCGTGTGACTCTTCACCTCGGGGTCATGAGTTTGAGCCCAACATTGGGCATCCAGCTTACTTTAAATGGAGAAATTCCCATAGTCTTACAAAGGCTTTAAAATGTATTTACTTTTTAACACATTATCTCTATTAAAAACCATAACCTCTAAGAAACCAACTTGCTGGGAAAATCAAGAATGTATACTTAACTTACAATAACCCACCAACAAGAAGACAACTATTTCCAAATCCATGACAAACAGCAGATTTGGGGTCCTTTCATTAAGCCCTCGTCTTACAGCTAAAGTCCCAAATGCATGCCAAGCATCTGTCACCTCCACGGCCGGGCGGGGGGCACCTCAGTCCACCGCAGACGCCACTGTCCTCACCCCCTCCCAGGAAGCCCCGTGGAAACACCACGGTTGGAAACCACACGCAGTCCCGGGGCTGCCGGCCCCCCTTCCTCAGAGATCCCCTGGCCGCAGGGTGCCGGCAGGCTCGCACGGGCACCTCAGTGCCCTGCCTTCTGTGTCACCTGCCAAACCAGCTGGGCCTGGTCTGAGCAGCTGATGGCACGGCAGGAAAACGCCACCTTCCTCCCACCTCAACAACCCTCACGGGTTCTGGGCACATGAACGCGCACCCTCAGCCAGCTCCTGCAGGGGCGCTGTGGGGGCACCCTGCTGCTCTCCAGGGTTCAGGAAGGAGAGTCACGTTGCCCCGCCTACCCCCGGGGAGAATCTTTCCTCAGTGCTCCATTTCTTCATTGTTAATTGCCTGAGAACTCGCTGGCTGTTTAGGACAGCAGCCTGGGCCTGGGGGGGTGGGGGGGGAGGGGGCCGAGGAATGAGCCCACCGGCACATGCCCACCAGCACACACCATGATTGGGGGTCATCGAGGCTCATGGGTGAGCTGGGAAACTGCTCTCTGCCCTGCGCCATGGGGCGCCGGATGGGTGCGGGCTCCAATGGGGGAATGGGGGGCGTGCAGGGCTCGGGGTGAAATCACAGACGTCACACCTGGCCAAGGGGGGGCTCTAGGGAAGCAGGGGGAGGGGCACAGCTGAGGCACGGAGGAGGGGCACAAAAAGGAGATGACAACAGCCAAGTTGGCCTGTTTCAACACTTGGGTCGGAGCCTCCCAACACTAAGAAAGAGGAAGGAAACATGCCCTTCTCCTCTGCTTGCCCGTGCCCCTCCCCCTCGCGGGACCCCTACCACCAGACCCCTGGACTGGGCTCCGAACCCCTGAGGCGGGCAGCAAGGGCCAAGGGCATGTGCCGCTTGTGTTTCCCACACCAAAGCACAAGGTCCCCCACTTTTAAATGAGTTGTAAACCAGTCCTTGAGCAGACCCCGCACATTTCTGAACACTCATTTACTGCCATCTTCCTATTACCTGGTGGAATTCTGCAGGTTATGCTAATTAAGCGACGCAGGGGATTGGTTAGGTGGCTAAGCTTGATTTTTTTAAAAAAAAAAGGGGAGGGAAACGAAGAATCGGGACTTCCAGCAAGTTGGGTCTGGTGGCCAAGACAGGAAGGGCCAGCACCCACCGCCCAAGGACACCACCTTATCAGCAAGTGCTCCCAAGCCTGCGAGGTCTGTGTCCCACCCCTGGGACTCCACAGCCTGGCTCTAGTAGGAGCTCCCGGGGAAGATCGGGGACAGGACACAGGCTCACTGCCTTCACGAACTCCCTTCCTGAGTCGGGCCGCATGGAAAGGCTTCCCTTCCCCGGGAAATTAAAAACCCTGTTGACTGAACACACCTCCGCTCCCCCCAGCCTTGCTAACTCCACGTCAACCCGGCCCCATAATGTCACTGTTGGTGCACAGGACCGCAGGACATTAGGCCGAGCAGACAGCAGGTGCGCAAGGGTCTCTGGGCCTCACCCTGCCACACCCGACCCGACCTGGCAGCGAAGGGGAAGCTGACCGCCTCCCTCGCACACCGGGCCCAGCGCCGCTGCAGCTCTGCTTTTCCCCCTCCCCCGACAGCGCTCAGCAGCTAAGCGGGGCCGGCACTGCCGGGTCTACACGGCCCTGCTCACAGCCGTCGTCTAAGTGTAACTACCCTCATTCTGGTGGATGCGGCAGGTGCGCGCGCGCCGGGGGGGCCGGGGGTCCCGGGGCGCCCCGTGCAGGCCTGCCCGGCCAGGCCCCCCGAGACCGCCGAGCTGCGTCAGGAGGGCTCTTTTTAGGGCCGTGAAACGGTGGAAACACAGGACCGAGCTGTGCTGAGCAGCGGCGCGCAGCCCGCCTCACCCCCTGCTTCCAGGGCCTGCGAGCCCGGGGGCCGGCGGCAGCCAGGCGCGACGGCATCCCGGTCCCGGCGTCCCCGTCCCGCCCGCCAGCTCCCCCAACCCCGCCGGCGCAGCTCCCGTCTCCCCCCGCGTCCCCGTCCCGCCCGCCAGCCTCCCCCATCCCCGCGGGCGCAGCTCCCGTCCCCAGTCTCCCCGCGTCCCCGTCCCGCCCGCTAGTCTTCTCGATCCCCGCCGGTGCATCTTCCAGCCCCCGTGTCCCCCGGCCCCCGGCCCACCCGCCGGCGCCGCGGCCGCACGAAGGGACCCGAAGCCCCCACAGCCTCCCCCCCGGCCGACACCGCCACCGCGCGCCCAAAATGGAGGGACGCGTCCTCGATTTGGATCCGCGCCGCTGTACTTCCGCCGCGGCCTAGCCGAACGCCCCGAGAGGGAGACGAGGCCGCGCCCCCCGCCCTCCTGTCCGGAGCTGCCGAGCGGCCGGCGCCAAGCGCTCACCTATGCGGGGATCTGGCGGGACAAGAACGGCTCTGGGACAGTCGCCGAGCAGCACCGGCGGCGGCTCCGCGCGCACAACACCGCCCGGCGCGCGCGCGCCCGCGCACCCGCGCCCGAGTGCGCGCCGCGCTCCGTCCCACCCCGCCCCCAGCGAGGCCGCCCGGCGCTCCCATTGGCCTCTCGGTCTTTTGAATCGTCGCCGGCGCCGCCGATTGGTCGTGCGTGTGGCGCGCCTGCCCCTCCCGGCGGGGCCCGCGGGGCCCGCGAGGGCGGCGAGGAGGCTGGGAGGCCGGGAGGCGGGGAACGGGGTCCGCCCAGCGCCCGCTTATCGCGGCCGCCCAGGCGTCGCGCCCCCGCCCCGCCTCCTTGGGCCCCGGGGTCCCGAGTCCCCATCGCCGCGGGCTTCGGGGTGCTGGGCAGCTTGGCGGCAGAGATAATAAACAGCCGCCGGGAGAACAGTGCGTTCGCGTGCGCACGACTCGGATCAACTGTCCGCGGCCGCAGGTGCTGCCTGCCCAGATGCTGGCAGGGCTCTCCCAACCGCGAGCGGGGCTGCGGCCGCCCCAAGGGCGCCCGGCTCCTTTGTCCTGGCGGCGGCGGGCCGGGCCTGAGCCGAAGGGACCGGGGGAGAAGGGCAGGGGTGGCGCGGGGTCCGGGGCGGACGGCGACTAGAGCGTGTGGGGACTGGGGCGGGGAGACAGAGGGGCACGGGGTCCTGGGCTCCTGTCCCGCGACGGCCAGGGGTCCTGGATTGACTGCCAGGGACTGAAACCTCTCACCTTCCACCCTGTGCTACCGCCCACATCCCCCGAGTCTGGTGTTAATTGGCCTCCACATTGCCAAGCATTACGTTAACTCGGATCTGGTGTGGATTTTACCCTCCACGTTCTCATCATCGGTTAGTTAGTTTCCTTCCTTTGAGGTCGAGAGTTGAAAGACGTCCATTGAAGTTCCCCATTTTGCAGTGTGGTCTTAAAGTATTTCTTAACCCGACTACTAGGTTAACCTAACCTACTAGGTAATCTTAGTGAATTTCAGGTGTGAAAGCACTATCAGTTAAATATTCGTAAGAAACAGGCTTCTTCATTTATAGACCAGATTCAGTCTCAAGAGTTTCTTACCTGGCAATTAAAACACCCAGGTTTACTACTTTAAGAAAAAGGGAGGGGGGGCCGCCTGGGGGTCTCAATCAGTTAAGGGTGTGACTTACACAGGTCTTGATCTCATGGTTAGTGAGTTTGAGACCCACATTGGGCTCTGTGCTGACAGCTCAGAGCCTGGAGCCTGCTTCGGATTCTGTGTCTCCCTCTCTCTCTGCCCCTCCCTTGTTCACACACTCTGTCTCAAAAAATCTAATGGGCTGAGGTTTCTCAGACATTCACAACCAGTGTGAAAATTTTCACTGGAGCCTTTCCTGAAAACAAGTCCTGACAGCCAGTTGTCTACTGTCTGGGTATTGCCGCGCGTGGAGGTCTGAGCTACAGAAACGCAAACTGACTGCACTTCAAAGTCAGAAAACCTGATTTTTGGCCAAGCCCTGGGCCTGAGTTGCCTTAACCTTTAAGGTGAGATAGTATTTGCAGTAAATGACACAGAAATGAAAACACTACCTCTGGTATGAGGGCCCCTAAGAGAAGTTTCTATTCCTGAGAGCCAAGTGGTGCTGTGCCGTGGTTTTGTGCTGCGTCCAACCCAGAACCAGGATTACATGCTTCCTGGAGCATTTCCGTTCGTGAGATAAAAGATTCTCTTAAAGACACACACACGCATTTCATCATAAAAGTCAGGTTTATAAAGCTTCATAACGAAATAAAGCTAAAAAATCATAAACCACTAGATTAAGCTTATAAATTACAAAGTACCAAAAACGGTTTCCAAAACAACTGATTCTGACCTCAGAGAAATTAGGCAATCATCATTTGTAGTTAGTTGACTGGAGTATGTTGCGAAAAGTCAGATTAGTACCAAAGCCACTTTCTCAGTAAAGAAATGGTTAGTATTCTCTTGCTTTGCTTTACAGAGACGGCTGACTGTGTATATTTGCGAGCGGAGAATCTCGTGGAGTTCTCTTTCCGAGATGCTTGTCCACCACAATCAGCCAGATGGATTTGCGGGACGTGTAGAGAAGACCTCACAGAGCCACGTTGTGAATGCAGCCACGAGTGGCACGGTCCCCTCCCCCATGCACACGGAAGATGAGACGTGGTGGGGAAGGAAAGTCATCAGCACTGCCACTGAGGCAGCCGCCGACCGCACGCGGGGCCGGGAACCCTCACACCGGAAAGACAGGCTCCTCGGTGCGGTGCGTTCCCACACGGCCCTTCTTCTGTCCTGCTTCCCAGAAGATCTGGGCTGTTGGGGCTGCAACAATTCTTGCGGGAACTGGGTCTGGGCACAGCATCACGTGGCATGAGGGAGTCCAATTGGACCCACTGGGTGCTGTTTTACAGGCGGGTGCCACCCCCTGCGAGCTGCAGAAAACCTGTCATCAGGTGGAAATACCCCCGGGGCCACCTGATGGCACATTCCTTCTGAGGTCCGACCTGAATCATTTCTATCCACACAGAAGCGGAGTTCATGGTTACCAGGAGGGACCAGCGATGTCCGTCTGTCTCGATAACGACTTTTTTCATTTTTATCTGAAACACATGTATGTATATTTGTACCACTTACTTCGTGTTTTCTCACTTCTAACTATCAGATGGGGGAACTTTTAATAAATGGCTCCAAGTACCCCACTCTCCTCAGCTCTAACGGAATATCTTAATCCACGTGGAATGAATATGTGATTTTCTTCTGCACAAATATTCATGCTACGTGCTTCTGAGCGCCTCTGGATTGGTGCTAAGCCGACTCGGCAACCTCGGGGTAATCTGTGTTTCCATTACACGCCATCAGTCTAAGAAGAGGGACTCGCGCGTATTTTTAGTCATTTATGTAGGTGTGTGCTTGGAGTAAAATTTTGTTTACTACTGCGCTCCCAATAGGTCTTAGGTCGTACGATCAATTAGGATGCTCTTCAAATAAAGTGAAGAAACTCAAACTTATCACGCACATTCCACTGTCAACATTCATCTCAAATATTCGACATCATCACCCTCAAGTGTGTTCCACGCAGACCGAATTCACTAGATCCCGTACTAATAAGGATCACAGTGACCTTGCCCTGGTTATCTAGATGCGTCTTCCCAGACAGGCCCTGGGAAGGAGGACAGACAGTCCTAGAGTCCAGATTCAGGGCATCAAAACCGAGAGTCCTGGAGGGAAGAATCACAGGGTGGAGGCAAGGCCAAGTTCATGTGCTCTCGGGCCCAGGAGTGTAGACAGAAAGTCCATGCACGAGCTGCTTCCTGAGCAGCCTGAGGAGTCTCCAGCTGTGGGTCAGTGGGATCGGGTGACCTGGAAGTCAACGGCCAGGGGAAGCAGGAGGCTGCCCGGGCATCTGGAGGGCTCAGGTGTTGAAACGGAGGACACTCAGGAATCCTCAGCCCTGGGTCAGACTCTGCTCCACCATATGACACGGGGCCAGCCCGCTGGCCTCTCCAGTCCTTGCTTCCTCTTCCTGCAAGTGGGGACAATGACACCTCCGTCACTGCGCTGACCCAATTCGTAAACAAGGCAAGGAATGGAACGTGCTTCCCAGAAGCAGGATCTCAGTGGACATCAGTCCCCGACACGCCTTCCCTTTCTCCACTGTGGGGGCCCCCACTTTTCCCAAAGGGCAGGGTGCAGTCTTCGTGCTCGGCTTTGAGCAGTCACTGAAGGAAGTACTAAACATGAGCACTGAGGAGGGGAGGGACCCAGCACAAGGGCGGTGCTCTCTGCCTCCCTGAGTGACGGGAGGCGCCCGCAGGGACTCCCCGGTTATCTCCCAGTGGTGCCTACCCCAGACCAGGCACCCCTGGTCAGTGTCTAAGGCCCCCAGGAAAACTATGGTAAGATTTTAAAAAGAAACACTTGAGGGGCACCTGGGGGGCTCAGTCGTTAAGCGGCCAACTTCGGCTCAGGTCATGATCTCACCGTTCGTGAGTCTGAGCCCCGCGTTGGGCTCTGTGCTGACAGCTCGGAGCCTGAAGCCTGCTTTGGATTCTGTGTCTCCCTGTCTCTGCCCCCACCCCCATGCTCTGTCTCTCTGTCTCTCAAAATAAATAAACATTAAAAAATATTTTAAAAAAACACTTGATTCCATGGTGTGGATGAAGAGAGATCAAGTGCAAGGTCGAGACCAAGCCAGAGGGAAGTGTGACCAGCGTAGTGGGTGGCGGTGCTGCTGCAGGGGACGCGGGACAGGGGTGGGGCGCAGGGGGGAGGCTGAGCCGAGCTCCCCAGGTAGAAGGCTTCCTCATTGGCTCGGTGGGAGCGTCCACACCAGTGAAAGCTCTGTTGTGTCTTGACTTCCTCCGGCCTCGAAGCTCAGTACGTAGCCCAAGAGGGAGACAGTGTCTTCTAGTCTGGCTTCCTGAGGGACACATCCAACCAACAGAGTGAACCAGTCATTCATTCGTGTAACGAGGGGAGACGCCCGTGATGGGGTAAGGACAGTGGCAGGTGGATGGGGGACGATCCCTGCGAACACGATAGAGGGAGGTTCGCGTTGGACGCAGAATGACCCCACTTGTAACGCACAGAAGTACAAGGTGTGAACCTCCCACGCCGTCAACCCACCAGGTAGGATCGTGACGCCACCCGCCTAAATGTCATTTGTACAGATGCATGGCGTTCCCTTTTCAAAAACATCCACTCCTTTTTCCTATTTTGCTTCATCTGACCCGGCCCTGGAGGCAACTCGCATCGCTCCACAGGTTAAGCCCAGACTTAACGCCCGTCGCGATCAGAAGGAAAGACGCCAGGACCGTCTCTCAGCCTCTGGGGCTCCTTCCGGGGCCGGACAGGCCGCTCAGGAAGCTCGATGCTCAACTTTTAAAGAAACGCCCTAGGCCTTGACCCCAGGCTTGCTTCCCACAAGCCTACGGGGCGGTGCGTGCGCTTCTGGGGCGGTGCTAGCGAGCCAAGCGCGGTTTCAGCAGGACGTGGCTCCCTTTTCAACATTCCCAGCCATCAGGTCAAATCAGGGGCTCCTGATAGCGTTTCCTGTGCCGCATCCAAAGGGGCAACAGAATTCCTGCCGGTTACTTTGAAGATACTTTGCTCACTAATGTGTTCTCAACAATATTATAAATACCTAAATACAACCAGTGGTTTGTTGTTTTTTTTGAGAGAGAGAGAGAGAGAGAGCGGGGAAGGGTCAGAGAGAGAGGGAGACACAGAATCCGAAGCAGCTCCAGGCTCTGAGCTGTCAGCACAGAGCCCGACGCGGGGCTCGAACCCATGAACTGCGAGATTATGACCTGAGCCGAAGTCGGACGCTTAACCGACTGGCCCCCAGGCGCCCCTCATCTTAACCGTTCTTACGTGTTTGGCTCAATGGCGTTCTGCACGTTCACGGTGTTGTACGCCGTCGTCACCGCACATCCCCAGGACATTCTCGTGTCCCCACCAGATACTAACTTTCCACTGCCTCTCCCCCAGCCCCGACAGCCACCACCTCCTTCTTGTCCCGGGCCCTTGGGCTGCAGGTGCCTCACGGCCCGGGACTCACCCAGTATTTGTCCTTTTGTGACTGGTTTATCTCAGGACGGTGTCCTCAAGGTTCCCCATGCGGTGGCAGGTGGCAGAGTTCACCTCCTTATTCTAGGACTGAGCGATGCCCCCCGCGTGTGCGTGAAACACCTTGTCTACTCGCCCGCCCGTAGCACTCAGGCTGCTTCCGTCTCCTGGCTATTGTGGAGGATGCGGCTGTGAACACGGGTGTGAAAGGGCCCGACCCCCTGCTTTTAGGTCTTCGGGGCCCCCGTCCAGACGTGGAACTGCTGGATCCTATGGAAGTTTTAGGCCACATTCCTCCAGGAGCCGCCACTACTCCTTTCCACAGTGGCGGCTCCCGCTGACACCCCAGCCGCAGCCCGCAAAGTTCCAGTTTCCCCGCATCTTCACCAACACCTGCTACTTTCTGTTTTTTTGGCTTTTTTGCTTTAAGGAGCCGTCCTGATGGGTGAAAGATGCCCCCCCCCCACCAATGTTCTAACAAAATAAATATTTGTGAGCTAAGGATGTTTTTATCATACAGACCGAGTCAACCGCACAGGGCGCCATCAGATAAACAGTGATTGGTCGCCAGAGCACACAGTCCAGTGCTCCGTCTTCCTTTAAAACATAAACAGGGAGGGGCGCCTGGGTGGCTCAGTCAGTTAAGCGTCCTATCCGCTCAGGTCATGATCTCACAGTCCGTGGGTTCAAGCCCCACGTCGGGCTCTGTGCTGACAGCTCAGAGCCTGGAGCTGCTTCAGATTCTGTGTCTCCCTCTCTCCCTACCCCTCCCCTGCTCACGCTCTGTCTCCCTCTGTCTCAAAAATAAATATTAAAAAAAAAAAAGAGGCCAGGGACAGGACCTGTGGGCAGGAAGAGTGGCCCAGGGCTTGTGAGGAGTAACCGGTTACGGATCCGGTTACGGATCCACGGGTGGGAGGGGGTTAGAGACAGCAGATTCTCTGAGGAATCCGGAAACACGGTTTCCAGGCCCTGGAGGGACTCCCTGCTGTTGGGATGAGGTCACTTCTTACTGTTCGGTAGAGATTCAGTCATGAGACCCTTCAGAGGAGCAGCGGGGGCCGTGAGCTGGGAGGAGGATTGTTAACCTCGGCGGCAGAGATCAAGGAAGTTTCCAGAGGAATTTTTATGTGGTAAACAGATGTACAGGATCCTGGAGGTCGGACTAACGTTAAGCTAAGGTTGCCACTTGCCCTGATCAAAGTGTCAACATCGAGGCCACTGGGCTCCTGGCCCAGTCACTCTCTCTCAAGGACTGTCGCTGGGGTGCAGACAGCAAGGAAATTTAATTTTTTCTCTTTTGCCTTCGCTCCCCACGTGACTAGTGCTTGGAGGTGCCCCAGAACCCCCAGCCGTTCCTCCTGAAGGGACTCGTAGTGCTCGGTGGTTTCACCGTCACCGGAGGACTGCAGGGTGACAGGGACGGGCTGGCAGAAAGCCTTCCGTCTGCGGAGCGAGTGGTGGCCCAGCACATGCAGCCGGGCCGTTGGGACCTCACCCACTGGGCCATCCTCAGAGGGTCCCCTGAGGCCTTGGGCGGGGGGAGGCGGGGGGCGTGTGCCGGCCTCATAGTAGGACCCCGGGTCCCCAAGGTCGCACGGCCACCTTGCCCACGTGGGAATGACCTTGCTTTGTCTGGCCACGGGCTCAGAGGGTTTCATGGTGAGGTTGGCTTTCTGTGCATGAGATTGGAGGGGTTTTCAAATGCAGTTGCTCCTGCGGTCCACGCGCCAAGCGTTAGAAATTCTGGATCCTCAGGGACGACATTCTGAGTGCCTCCGCCGGCTCTGCTGCCCCTGCGGTGGTTTATCATCCATGCGGGGGGGGGCAGGGGGGTGCAAGGGGACAGGAGCGAGAGGCTGCCGGTGGATGGGCACTTGGGGGGCGGCCCGCACTGCTGTCTGCACTGTCCGAGAACCTTCCAGAACCTTGTTGTAGGGAGCATGTGAAACCGGAAGCCAAGGGGCTGGAAAGTCTCCCACTGTTTGTTGGGCCCCTGAAGGACTTCAGAGAGAAGAACACACACAACATCTGACCCCTTTGTCTTCTGTTCCAAGTTCTTAAACAGGAAGAACAACAACAAAAAGGGCTCGATTCCCAGGAGAATCGCCAGCTCGCCAGGGCCT